TAAATAATTCTCTACCGATAATCTAAAATAGAATAAAAAATATTGTTAGAATATTTTGAAAAATTTTAAATACATACAAGCAGGCACTAATGTACGAAAACGTTCATGTCCAGCTGTGTCCTAGACAAATTTAGTTAGAGAGTAACAATTCTTCTGTTAATAACAAGTATTTGTTTTTTTTTAAATATATCTCAGATTAAAAAAAAAAGTTATTCGTAAATTTTCATTTTGAACTACATATATATTAGAATAGTTCGATGTTAAAATAACGGCTAATTGATCCTACATATTGACTTATAATTTAGACTATGAATATGTATGTGCTTTGAATTAATAATTATTAATATAGAGTCATTAGTAAGCAATCGTATCTTTTTGTTTTCAATACTATTCATTAAAAATAATAAATAAATGTTAATACAGAAGATAGCAATATAAAATTCGAGAGAGAATATGTATATTTTAATAATCATCTAGTTACAAAATGACAAAAAGTTTCTTATTATAATTTCCATTTTATATTTTCCAAAAAACGAAATATTCTTTTAAAAAGTTTTAACATTTATACTTACCCAAATAGCTAATTTAACTCGATTACCATCGGCTTCTAATTGTTTAACTAAAATAAACAAATTTGTTTTTTTTTTCTTTGTCAAAATAAAAGAAACCAAAAATTATACTTTTAAAATCAACACCAATAGTTGCAGGCATTTCATCATCAAATTTATCATCAGTAAATCGTAAAAGAAGACAACTTTTACCTACACCAGATTCTCCAATAATAAGAATTTTTAATGTTGTTAATATATAATCATCCTTATAACTCATGATTATTAATAATCTAATACAAACTCGAACAGACAAGACAAAACTAATCTACAATGAACTTTATACTGAAAAATTTTTCTTTTTAAATTAATTAATTAAGATTTATACACTGAACATTCGATCTTTCTTTGTCGGAAGATTTACTTGAGTTCAGAGAGTTAAAAAAAAAAAAAAGAAAATTTCCACTCACACTATGAAAAACAAGCATAATCTACATACATATGGACAAAGCACATCCACAAAGTACCTTATTTATTATTTCAATGACAATTAATTATTATTGTTTGATATGAAAATTTAATTGAATTCATGAAATTCTATTATCACAAAATTATTTTAATTAATATTGTTGTATTCAATGATAGATGTCGAGATATAGATTTTTTTATTGGTTAAATCGAAACGTATGAAAAATTTCCTTGTCATAATTATTTTTTTTTTTTTGAATATTTAATATCGAACTAAGAATTTAAAAAAAACTACTTATTTTTATTGATCTAATTTGTTTGTTTTTGTATTTTAAAGAAATGAAAACTTCTGAATCAACTCCTATTCAACGTACAATTCTTCATTATCTTGTCAATATTATTATTATCATTATGATCGTTATGATTATCTTCAATTTTCTTCCGTTAGCTGGTTAAAATAAAATAAATATTTAATGTTTATATCAATCAATTTATTTCAAATATTTTATAAACAAATACATAAAGTAAAATCTTTCAATGTTATATTATTCTTCGAATTTCATATACAATGTTCTTAATAATAATTATCATTTTTCATATATCTGAAAAACTATTCATAAATAAGATGAAGCATTCAATGATTAAAAGCAAACTGAACATTATTTTCTTTTCTTTTTTGGTTACTTTATATGTGTTATTATTAAATTTTTCTATGCTTTGTCAAAAGTAATAATCTGTGGAAAAAAACTGAAAGACAAGTATAGTGAGATCTTTTAACAAGAAAAATAAACGATTTATTAACTTTAATTTTATAAGAGTAATATACTTTCAAATGAAATAATTAATCATTTAATTAATTAAGATCATTCTCGAGATAATATGTTTGAAAAAAAAAGAATCATTGTTCAATTTCAATGAATATATAACGAAGAATCTTGAGATAGTTTAGAAAGGTTAATTTTAATTTGTGTGTGCATGGCTACTTAATTTTCGTCTATTTACAAGTCATTGATAAGAATCAAAATTAGTCGGCAAAAATGAAAATTTCCTGTTCTTTCTAAATATATATTCAGAATTTCTTTTTTTCGGCTTACCTATCTGAAAACACTATTCATAGAAGTTGTGAATGACAAAATAAGTGTATCTTACTTACCTATGAAAAAAATACTGCACAAAGCAGTGTTTCAATGCCAACTTTTTGAAAACAAAAAACACTAGTTTTGCATTTAAATGCATCATTTTTTATTTTAACGCGTTTAGGTACATCATTTTTTTTCATTGGTAACGTATTTACGCTCATCTGTGTTTTTTTATTGGCAATGGGTTCTTTTTTCGACTCGAAACACTATCTAAAAATACCGTTTGGGCGTGTTCATTAGAGAGGGCGTATTCTCTCTCCAATCAAGGCTAC